ATGAAGGAAGGAGGAATGACACAGTGAGCTGCTCCTCACACCTGCACCTCACTACCATTTCCTCTTTAGAATAGGAGGCGCACACCCTACCCCTCCTGGCAGCCCTGTGTTTTGGCTCATTTCGGATATGCTGGGACCCCCCACCAGTATGCACAGAGGCCTGTGCAGCCACATCACTGGCCTGCTTCTCCAGGGGCCCAAAGTGGGAGTGGCCAAGGGAGGGGACTCAGACTCCACCCCCCTACTCCACCATGTGGCTTTGAGGCAGGGGATAAGGGGTTTGTGGCAACTTAAGGGTCTGACAGGTGTGGTGAGGGGCAGTGGACCTGATTTGGTTCCCGAAGGACTCTCCTGTTGACACCATAGCCCACCAAGTATGACCTTCATGTCAGAAGTTCACATGCATCTCAGTGGCTCTCAGAGGCAGAGCCACTGAAGGTAAAGGCCCTCAGCAGGCAAAGGCCCAGTAAGAGGGGCAGAATGGACAACCAAGCAGCAGCTAAGACTCTTATGTGCATGAGGACAGAAATCAGGGACTCACCCTCAGACAAACACAGGCAAAGATTGCCCAGTACCAGTTCACTAGCACAACACCTGAGTGCCTTCTACCCAGGCTGAGTTCAGGGAAACAAGGTCAACAAGAACCATGGTCCCCACGTGAAGCTGCAGGCATGAGTATACACATACGCACACTCACATACAAACACATGTGAAGTCCATACAGCTGGAAACAGCCCTGGCCTGTGAGGACAGCCTCTCCCTCTCCCACGCCTCCACACCATGGGAGGGCGGGGAGTGCAGGCAGAGACCATCTCTGTTCTCAGGTCCAGCTGTAAGCAGCCCCAGCAGGAGGCCTTCCTCTGAGGAAGTTCTCAGGATCTGTGCTGGAGAGGAGGGGCTCCTCGGAGGGGAGGGAAGAGCCCTCTAAGGGAGGCTCCACTACAGACCTTCCCCAGCTCTCATGGGAGCTCTCCCAGCTCCCATGCACAATCTTGCCAGCCTAGGGCTCCCATTCGCTTACTGCTGAGCCTGAGGGTAGTCCCAGCAGTCAGGAGGAACAGGGGGCCCAGAACCCTCCTCCAGCAGGTTAACTGTCCCTGGGAAGTCAAGTGCCAGATGGCTGGGCTACTGTGGTGACTGTGTGGCAGCCCCCATCTCATCCAAGCCTCAGTGCTCTGGGGAGCCCCAGTGGGAAGAGGCCACTAGAGCTAGGAAGGCAGGGTAGGAGGGGGTCTAGTCCCAACCCCATCTAGGATTTACCCCCCAGTTCTAAGGTAAACAGCTGACCTAGGTCTCACAGGTAGAGGCAAAGGTCTGGGAGAGGGCTGTTTCTACAGCTGTTTTCCACCTTCCTGTAGTGACAAAGGCAGGGTTGCACCGTTCTAACCAAGCAATGGATGCAGGAATAGAAAGTGCCTGGATCAGTGGCCCTGCTATGTACCTCCCAACCCTCTCTGAATAGCCTCATTCCATTCTCCAGTCCCTGCACCCCCCTTCCTCAGCATGTGGGGGCTGGAGGGTAGTCTCAGACCTGGGCCAACACCCTGACCAGGTGACCTTCAAACTTACATGCAGCCACTGCCCTGAATCTCCTACTTTCTCAGCTCTGCAAGGCAGGTCCCACACCCACAGGGAAGGCTCAGACAGGCCCCAACACAATTTGCTCAGGTCTAGCACCCACTTGGGGAGGTTTGTGGGGGGGGGGGGAGGTAAAAACAACTTTTTTTCCACTTACAATCTGTAGGGAAGTGAAGGTGGGGCTCTTCCGTGGGTGGGGATAGGGGAGTGGGGAGGGGTCTGGAAAAAAACAGGAATAATTTCCACCAGTTCAGTCCTGCCCTTTTCCTTGTCCAAGAGGACATCACCCCCAAAGAATAGATGACATTACTTGCCTGCAGTCACTATCACTGACCCATTTAATCTAGCAGAGCCCACCCCCACGGCTACCTCAGGGAGCTCAGGTAAGGCTGAACTCCCACATGGTGGTGTGCTGGAGGCACCTAGCTGACTTCCTACAAGAACCCCTAGTGAGGAGAAGCGCCTCCTCCAGCACAGGAGGCAGATTCTGGGTGTCAGGCCAGCAAACTCAAGCCTGGACCTGCCTGGGGGACGGGCCCTCAAGGGCTCTGGGTGGGGCGGGAGAAGCTACCTCCCCCCTTGGCAGGAGGAATGTGGGGGAGCTGAGGAAACTGAAGACCGCAGAGGGCATCAGCCCAATCCAGAAGGCTGCCCATATCCTAGAGACCCTTCCATATCCTAGGTGGCACCAGTGTGTAAGATGCTGGTCTGGGGGGGTCAGGCTGCCCCCACCCACTGCCTTGGGACCCAACACTTCTCCAGGTTTCCCCAGGAGCTGGCCTGGTGGGGAAGAATGGCTCCAGAACCCAGCTGACCAGAGCAAGCTGGGGAGCGTGGATGCCAAGACCCTAGGCTTTAAGGCTAGGCAGGGCCAGGCTGAGCAGGGGCCAGGCTCACTCAACCCTGGCCCCCTGCCCTATCCCTGTGCCAGGACCCAGCAAGGGCAGACAACACCTCTTTCTCTGCTCTTGGCTCTTAGGGGGAGGGACCAGGCCCCAGGCAGGCCCACATCTCTTCTGGAGGGCTTCAGGGAGGCACCAGAACTGGCCTTCTAAAGGTGGGGTGAGGAGGGTGGTGGGTATCTGCGGGCAGGGCCCACATCAACACACAGTGGCCTTAGGGCGGCCCTGAAGGCTGCCCAGAGCAGGCTCAGGTGCAGGCTGCTGGGGCTTAAGGTCCTTCCGGAAGCAGCAGCAGCCTCCTCTGCCCAAAGGTGCACAGAGGGAGGGGCACAATACCTGTCTCAGTTATGCCAGGAATGTGGCTCAGGACACAGGCAGAGGACCGGGAGGAAGAGCCTTCCTGGGGGCTGGGGGAGGGGCTGACTGGGCAGGGGGTATTCCAGGACCAGCTTCCCACACAGTAGGAGGGACCTGGAGGTCTGGGTAACCCCAGATCTCACCCAGTGCCCTGCAGGGGGTGCGGCATGTGTGGGAACCCTGGGGGCAGAATGAAGACAGACTCAGAGGGGAGGAGTTGGCTTGCTTCAGGTCCTGTCATCCATCCATCAATAGGGTGACAAGCTAGGTTGGAGTCCTAGGAACAGCAGATGGATCCACCATCCACCCAGCTTGGTGGGGGGTAGAGGGTGGGCAAGAGGGTATTCCTTCTCCAGCCTGGGCCCAGGTCTCAAGGAGGCTCAGTCCTGCTTCACCTTGTCCCGGCACTGACCGACCACCATGGTACCCTGTTCCGCTTCCAAGTAAGATTCAGGTTACCCCTCAAAGTTTCCAGGTGCTACAGCCCCCTTACAGTGGAGCCCAGGCTGCTCGCTCTGCCCCATCTCCTTGGGGGCTCCTCTTCTGCCTCTGGCCCCACCAGTGAGCCCCAGTTACATCCCCACTGCCTTCCTCTCTGGCAGTGGCTCCTGGGCTCTCCACTGGCCACACACTGGCCTGAGGGTCTCAGGTGCTGGACTGGCCAGCCACCCACAGCAGGATACACATGGTGGGTCAAATCAAACCTGCGTGGGGACAAGAGTTCTCCTGGTTTACCCTTTTTCCCAACTGTCCCTTTTCTCTGCCTGGGCATTCCAAGCACCAAAGTCAGAGCCTGGCTTGGGCACAGTGGGGCTTTGGCAAGATGCCAAACGTTGTTCTACCCAGGGTGACCTTCCCGCCCTGTGACCTCTGACCCTAGGCCAAGTCCTCAGTTACTGAGTCATGGACCCTCTAGCAGGACCCACCCAGCTTAGGGTTAATGATTTGCCCTTTTGATCTTATAGGGACAAGGAACCATGGGCTGCTCCTCAGCCTTCCACTTACCCCAAAGCCAAATCCCTGTCCCATGGCCTCCTCTGCCACCAAGCCCTGCCTAGAGTCTTCCAGACTATAAGTTTCCAGGACAGGGCTGGCGTCTCTGGTCCTTGTCCAGTGGGACCACCAGACTGGGCCCTCACAGGGAGTCTACTGAGCAGAGTCCAACTCAAGGAGCCTGGAGGCAGCCCAGAAGCAGTTGACCACAGTTAAGGGAGAGGCTACAGAGCAGCTCATTCTGGTCCTGTGCCCCGTGCACAGTGCCCACTCTTCTCCCACCACCCCACAAGCCAGCATGGAGCAGGGTCCCAGAGACAACCCTCAGGAGCCAAGGTAACATCAAAGCAGAAAAGCAGACAGGAGGTAATACCTCCTTACTGGACAAAAAGAGCATATCAGAGGACCGGAAGTCACGACCCTTGCCACTGCCCTGGGGAGGAAGTTTTTCTGTCTCCAACCCCACATCCCTTTCCAGGCGGCCATGAGGGAACAGACAGGATGTGGGGGCGACAAGCAGAAAGCAATTTCTCTCCACTTTCTCCAGCCAAGGGTCTCAGCCTCTAATAGTGACTGTCCTTAGGGAGGACAGCCTGGTTTCTGGTCACCTCCCAGGACTGGGATACTCACCAACAGAATCGTTCTTTTTGTGGAACACACAGAGCAACACCCACCCTCCCATCCCCATGCTCAACTACAAGGGTTTGCTTAAACACATGAGCTCAATCTAGACAGATGTTTGGACTTCTACAGGGACATGACAGCTGTTGTCCATTCACCTGGCCCCAGCTTTTCCCCTAAAAAAAAAGGCCCTCTGAAGTACAATGTGAAACACTTGGGAGGAGGAAGGGGAGAGGAAGCAGAGGACACCAATCCTTTAGCTGCAGCTTGCTTTAGCTCCAAGAAGAAAAACGGCTAATGTCAGGATTTGGGGCTACTTGACCTGTGTGGATGCAGATGCTGCTGGGAGGCCAGGGAACCAGAATGAGGTCAGACCAGTCATGTAGCAAGACAGTATGCACTTCAGCCCACAGCAACTTCTCTTCTGTACCCTTTGCCCAGCCCTGGACAGAGTTTTCAGTCACCATCTCCAAACCTATTCTTCTGCCTCTGCCCTGACCACAACTGGCCTCTGCGTGACCCCCTCCTCCCACCCCCAAAACCACACACCTTCTACACAAAACTCCACCTCCTCCAGGTTCCGCAGAGTAATCCGCATGAGGCTGGAGTTGAGCATCAGCTCATTCTTGTGGGCTGGCCACAGGTAGGGAGGTGCTGGGTTCACAAAAAAGATCCTGGTGTCCCCAGTGGACACCTGGTTGTCACAGATGAGGGGATCTCCGAAACCACTGATCACCACCTTGTTGCTGCCATCCATCAGGCTCTCCTGGGCCACCACATCTTTGCCCTTCAAGTACCGCCAGACACGAACCTGGTGTGGACATAGGAGCAGATGTCATTGATCCTCCTCCCACTGGAAGTGGAAAAAGGATGCCAGACTGGGGGCCTGGGCCCTTCCACCTCTTCTGGTCTCAGCTGCTAGGCCAAATATCCACATTAGACCCTGGCCTTGGGCAGAGATGTGCAGTTGAAGGAAAGTACACGTGTGCTGGATGCCACCGTCTCAACGTGTCACACACAAGGACACACCACCCACAAGGACCACATTCCCACTCCCAGGAAAGAGCTCACACCCCAGGTCTAACCAACCCCAGCTACCCCAATCCAAAAAAGTTCATATCAGCTCAGGTTGGATTTGGGTAAGTTATCACATGGCCTGGTGCTAACCCTAACCCTTCCTCTCCCCTTTGTTCACCACTACTTGGGTTTACTCTGGGCAAAGCCAGGACTAGTCACCATGCGCACAGGGGCTTTTGGGCAAAGGGGCCAACTTGGATCCTTGCAGCCCTGTGGGTGGGCTGACATTCTCCTCCCAGGAAGTGAAAGCCATCTCTGCTCCAATGGTCTGTCTGTGAGTCTGTGCAGTCAAGGAAGCCCAGCCATGAACCACAAAGTCAAGTTTGGGCAACACAGGGCAGCCCCACCCTCTACCTTCTCTTCTTGGGGCCCTGAGGGCATGGGCTCTGATAGACATGCCAGGGAGGAAGCCTGCAGCCCCCAACCAGGGCAGCTCCCTCAGTATGGGTCCATGGACACAGGCACTTCCTAAGAAAAGAACCCTTGGGAAGAAAGAAGTCCCTTTCCCAGGATTTCTGGGGGACTGGGACTTCTCAAATTGGGGGGGGGTGTGGAAAGACAATGGGTAGCCTGTCCACCTGCTCAGTCACTGCTAGAAGACTCGGCATCTAAGACCCCTCCAGCAGCCTACAGACCTTCATGTACTCCCCCCATCACATACACACAGTAGGCTCCAGTAGGAGATAACCCAGGCAGGGGGAGGGCTTGCGCTTTCATCACCTCCCCCACCCCAGCCACACCCAGAAGCAGCGGGGAGGAAGTCGGGAAAATCCTGCAGGGACTTGGCAAACTGCCCTGGCGGTGAGGGGAGGGGGCCCGGCTGGGGGATCCCAGCTGTAGCCCGCACAGGCCACTCTGAAAGAAGGCGCCCTCCCCATCCCCACAGAGCAGGAATGATCCGATTTCTGGTGAAGGAGTTTGGGAGTAAGAAAGGGGAGTAGTCCTGGGTCTCCTGAGCCCTTCCTAACAAATTGTGTGTATGTGCGCGCGGGGTGGGGGTGAGGGGTTGGAGAAAACCCATCATACCTATTCCAGGGCACCCTACATCCAGCTGAAGTTGAAGCAGGACAAGCTCTCTTTGCTTGCCCTGGAACCCCAGTTCTCCCAGAGAAGGACGGAGCACCTGCCTCTGCCCACCACGCACACTGAAGTCAATCACCGCCCCACCCACCTCTCTGCTCCGGCCCCCACACCCAGTCACCGCAGCACCTCCCCCCCCCGCTGGCTCCCTGGGCTGGGGGATTAGGCTGTGCACCCCTTTCTGTCTGCCGACCATCCCCTCTTGCCCTGTAAAGAGCTCTGGGGAAGGAAAGACGGCACTGACCACAGGCCGAGTCCCTGTACCCACCCCAGCTAAAGAGCGTCTCCCTGGTCCGTATTCCTTTCCTTAGGGAGGGGGTGCGGTGCACACGTCCGATGTGGGGGGTGAGGTGCACTTGTTTCCTACAAGGGAGTGGGCTTTGGCGGGGGAGGGGCGGCCATCACCGGGTCTAGGGCCTGCACACCGTGGGCAGGACCGCAGCGGCCCCGCAGGAACTTTCCTGCGGAGCTCCAGAGTTTTCCGGAACCTGGCGCCCCACCCGGAGGCTTGGCGGTCGCCAAGGGAGCGCGAACAGGGACTGCGGAGCGTCTGGGTCTCGTTCCCACGGCCTGGGGCTGGGGTCCCAGCAGGACGGCGGACACGCGAGGGGAGGGACTCGGGGCCGGGATCAGAGGGGGAAGAGGCTCCCGGCCGGGCTTCCAGGGGCTGGGGTACTGGGGGTCCAGTTGGGGCCCACCTTGCACGAGTACGTGTGCTGCACCGGGTCCACGTTGAGGATCTCCTCCACGGTGCCGGTGAGTACCACGTTCGCCTCCTCCTCGCGCCGCTCCAGCGCGCGTTCCGGGCACGTCCCACCCGCGTCGGGCAGGGTGTGCGCGGCCACCACCAGGAGCAACAGTAGTGACCGCAGTGGGGCCGGGCCGGACGGCCGCAGGCTGGCCATGGCGCAGCCGAGGACGGCGGAAGGCGGCCGAGACAGAGCGCGGGCCGTGCCGCGCGGGGGACCGGACTGGACAGGACGGGACGCAGCTCCTGGTAGGCGGTGGGAGCGCGGGCAGCGCGGGGGCGGGGCGGGGGCGGGACCTGGCCAGCACCGCCCCCTCCCCCACGGAGGCCCCGCCCTCCCCGCTCCCAGTGACCGCGCCGGCCGCGAACAAAGCGCCCGGATAACGGCGCCGGGCGGAGGCCGGGAGACTGGGACTGGGGCGGGGGCGCCGGGCCGAGTAGGTGGTGGACCAGCCGTGGGGGAGGGGGCAGGCGAGGCGAGCCCGGGCGCTCCTGCCGCGGCTACCCCTGCGGACGCCCCTCCCCCGTCCGTGCGGACGTTCCCCCTCCTCCCCCCGCAGGAAATGCGGCTGAAATCGGGTTAATGCATAATCTAGAGGCGACGTGATGGGACTTCCAAGGGACTCTCAGCGGCGCGGGAGCCGGGAGTGGCAGGGTGCTCTAGACGCAGGAGAGACCTCCCGAGCCCGGACCCGCCGCGGCCCTCGGACCCGCAGGCCGCCTCCTCCCCAAGCCTAACAGCGTCGCCCCCTTGTGCTGGGAAGACGAACTGCGCTCGCCGCTGCGGACTCCAGCCGGTCTGGTAGCGGAGGTGGCCCCGGCCGAACGCGCCCCCAGCCGGCTGGTCAGTGAGCTCGCTGACTGATCGATACTGCGCGCAGACCCACTTACCTCCCGCCCACCTCTGACCCTACTGCACCGCCGCTCGGCCGGGTGAGGCAGCAGGGCGCCCACTGCAGTCCTGAGCTTGTGGTTTTTGGTTCCGCTGCAGAGCCAGCCACACCACCTCTCTCCCCTCTCTCCCACCCCCCTGCTCAGAACTAGAGCCTCTCGGGTTGGCCTGACGAGGTACGCGGGTATACTGAAGCCCAAAGGGTACAAGCTCCGCGCCTAGATGGAGGGATAGGGAGTCTCCCCTCTGAATTCTCAGGATTAGGTCTGTGGTGCACCAGCCTCAGACCTCTGAGCTGGAAGGCTGAATAAAGGGGAGGCATCAGAAGCTCATCCAGGGAAGGTCACTAATGGGAGAGGGAGGGCAAAAGAAGGAAGTTAAGATGGTTGATATACTTTCTACACAAGAATGAATATAGAATTTTTAAATCTATTGAAATCACCATAAGAAGGGGATTAAGATAGGAGAAAACTAGAGGGATGAACGAATTCAGGTTATAATACATATATTCGTGGGAATGTCACAATGAAACTCCCTAAACAAAAAAAATAAAATAAAAATGAAACTCCCTGTATAGCTATCTTAAACAAAAATGTCTTTTTTCAAAAATGGAGAGCAGGAAGGTATAAGGTCCTGTCTTGGGGGAGGCATTGATACCAGTGGGAGGGGGAAGATACAAGGAAAGGGTGTAGGAGGGTGAATATGGTGGAAATACTGTATATTCATGTATGTAAAGAGAAAAATGAGACCTGTTGAAACTATTCCAGGAATGGGGTGAGGGGGATAAAGAAGAATGATAGAGGGGGTGAACTATGATATATTTTAAGAACTTTTGTAAATGTCACAAAGTACCCCCAGTACAACAACAATATGATAATTTAAAAAAAAAAAAAACTTGCCCAGAAAAGGACTCTCCCCACCCTGCCCCTAGTGGGGCTTTAGGGAAGGAGGTGACATCAAGAATCTGTGCTCACACTTGCTACTCCATGACAGGGGCAAGGGTGGGACCCAGGAAGGAAGGCTGGAGCCCTGCTGTGCTCACATCTACACAGTGGGCACCACTAATCAGACCTGGGAATCATGAGTCCAGATATGCACTGCATACACCAGAAACAGAGCTTACAGGCCTCTAACCAAATCTTCCTAAGGAGTGTGAAGGCTGAGGTCTAAATGCCTGCCCCCCCACCTACAGGGTGGTGGTCTCAGGATCACAGAGCAGCATATCCTGCCTATCTTACCTATGTCCTATGCTGTCTCAGCCTGGCTCTTGTGAGACTCACTGGGTAAGTTGAAACAGAAAAAGACAGAGAAGGAAGCATCCAGTCTTAAAAAGGTGAAGCTTGTTCGTAATTAGGTGCCTCCTGTCTGGAACATGTTCTCCTTTGTAGACAGGATGAGCCTCTATTTCCTGGTGCCCCCTTACCTGCTGGCCATGGTTCCTCTATTAGGCAGAGCCCCAAAGCGGGTTTTCTTGCTGGCCACCAATTCTCTGTCCGCAGAGAGTGATAGTGATGTGAGTGCTCAGCTCCTTTCCCCACCCCTCCTTGGACCAGTGCTGGAGAGACAGAACAGGCTGATAGGTCGCAGCCCCTGGTGGTGTGCAAGAGTCACCCTTACAATGCACCCAGAAGAAAAGGAACCCACCCTCACTGCTTCCTGGGGCTCGGAGGATGGGCTGGTCCCATTGGTCTGTAGGACCTGAATTGGCCTGTCCCTCCTTATGTATACTGACCTACATGTGGGGATGGGGGCTGCCTATGACTACACCTGGCTAGGAGAGTTCCCAGCAAATGTGTCTTTTTCTTTCCCTAGAACTGAATTCCCCAAAGGGTGTGGGAGCAGGAGAGTTACTATGTGGACCCTACTAGGCTCTAACTGGGAAGCCTTTGTCTCTTTGTCAACCCAGGCCTGGTCACTAGGATGGACTGTAATTCTCTTACCTGGTCTCCTTTCCTGGCCTTGTCAGCAGGGATGCAGAGGGGAAGACAGACTGATGGGTGTTTCTGGGTGAGGTTAGGGTAGACAGAAGGCAGAGTTTCTCTTTGTACTATGTTTTATTACAGACAATGGATCTCCATGGGGGCTCTCAGCACAGCCCTCCAGGCCCTGCCCTACCCACCCCGCAGGCGCAAATTCATGAACACAGTGCACTGGGGTGTGAGTCCATACTCCCCTAGCAAGTGCTGGTCCTCCATGGGCCTCCCTTCAAAGCTCAGCCAGAACAGGTCTTCCTGTGCTCTCTCCTGCTGGCACACCTGCCGCTTGAGCTCTGCCACCTTCTGTGTCAGCCGGACCTCATAGATGCTGCTGCGGCCCTTGTCATTCCTGACCAGGATGCTCAGGGGGCTGTCACAGTTCTGCACTACCAGCGAGACCGTACTGCCGGGGCCCAATCCTTGGCTGATGAGGGAGACCTTGTCCTTCAGCACTGTACCATTCGGGTGTGCCAGGCGCTGCTGGAAGGCAGGCACACCAGTCTTCTGAGCAATCTGCTGCTTCAGTTCTGACACCATCATGGAGTCACTCATGGGCACGAGGAACTTCTCACCCCCCAGCATCTTCACGGTCAAGTCCCAGCCCTGCAGGTATCACACAGACTTAGAGACTCATATGGTACCAGTCCTGAAAGCCACTACATGCACTGGCCACAGGGTCAGCTCCTAAGCCCTGGGGTACACAGCCTTCTGGGCCCTGTTCCGACCCCTCCCCCAACCCTAGCAAGTGCAAATTCATGAACGTGGTGCATTGTCTGCCCTCTGTACCATTGGGGACCCAGGTGCGAGAATCACAAAGGGGTCATTTCTAGAAGGGCCAGCTTACCACAGCCATCACATCACCTCCCTTCACCCACCCAGACACCCCTCTGGGTGCAGCCCTAAGGGATCTAGGGCTGGTGGCTGAGCAGACACAGAGCCCAGTCCTTCCCCTAACATTGGCGACCCCCTAAGCTCTAAGCAGCTCTGTTCTTCTCCCACACAGCGATCCGTCTCTGGAAGACCCCACAAAGGGAAGAGGAAAGACTACTGGAAGGGAGCCCACTTGCCCCTGCCCACAGATTGGCCTCACCATGGCTTCGAGCTCTAGCACTAGGTCCTCTGCAGGCACTGACAAATTTACTGCAGTTCAGCTCCCAGCTGCTGTCACAGCCCATGGTTGGGCTCAGCCCTTTTAAGAGTGTGAGCTGTCCACGTCAAGGGGCGGAGTTTCCAGCTGCCTGCACAGTGGCGAGCTGCCTTCTGTTTCAGTTTCCTTTTCCCAAGGCATGCCCCAAGAGAGTGGAAGAAACAAAACAGACTAACAGATGATAAGGAAATGAGGAAGAGGGGTGCCTAGGCTCTCAAGGTAATGTCAGGGTCACAACCACCACCACTCTCCCAAAACCGCAATCAGGACTGTGCATTCAGAAACCCCCTAAATATCCAGCTCTTTGGGTGTTTTACAAGGCACACAAATGTCATACTGAGGTGAACTAATGATTGAAAGTTTCACTTTCCATTTATCAGTTTGCAAATTAGTAAATTAGTTAACTTAGAAAATGTCAACATGATTAATTCAGAAACAGCATCAAACTGCCTAAAGACAATCCCCACTGCTTTAAGACAATACTTGTTCACATTAAGCTTTTTGACTTGTTTGTTTTGTTTTTGTTTTTTTCTGACTGGTTGTAGGAAGTACACTATAACTTGGAACACTTTATTTATTGTGATCTTATTACCTATGAAGTTAAAGAGACATTGATTAAGGCAGATTGTTTTTGTCTTGTTTTGTTTCACTTGAATTCAGTTGAATTCAGGCTGGCCTTGAATTCAAGATCCTCCTGCTTTAGGCTCCTGAGTGCTGGAATTACAGATGTGTACCACCATGCCAAGCTCAGATTTTTTTTTGGTGGTACTGGGGTTTAAACTCAGGACCTTGCACTTGCCAGGAAGGCACTCTATGCTTGAGCCACACCCCAAGCCCTTTTTGCTTTACTTACTTTTCAGGTAGGATCTCATGTTTTTCCGGGGGCTGGCCCTGGAGTATGATTCTCCTACTTAAGCCTCCCTCATAGCTTGGATCACAGGTACACACCTGTGCTTTTTTGTTAAAATAGGGTCTTGCTAACTTTTTGCTCTGGCTGACCTCAAACCTTTATTTTTAATGAGAGAGATGTATCTTTTATCCTACAAAAATAAACTCATGGATACTATCAAGAAAGTGAAAAGAGACTGGAAGCTTGGCTGTAGCCCTGAGTTAAAACTCCAGTCCCACCAAAAAAAAAAAAAAAAGAAAGTGAAAAGACAAACCACACAATGGTAGAAAATATTTTGAAATGATATATCTAATAAGGGCCTACTACCCAAAATATATAAAGAACTCTTACAACTCAACAACAGAAAGGCAACTCAATTTGAAAAATGGGCTGGAGATATAACTCAGTGGTAGAGCCAAGCTCAAGGTCCTGGATTTGATCCCTCCCAGCACAAAAACAAACAAACAAAAACCACCTCTTTGCTAGTGACTGTTGTAATAGTGGTACTCTTTGTGGGGACTATTGTAATTTACTATGTCCATAAATACTCTGAGACTTAGGATCCCAGAAGTCTGAAAGTAAACAGAAAGAAATGTACCATCCAGGGATTAAATAAAAGAAAGAAATAACAGCCATTTTAATAATCTCAACAAGGTAGGAAATCTTGAGGCAAAGCATTGCTAAAGGTGCAGAAGGTCACGTAGCAGTAAAAGGTTGCTTTCACTGGTATAATCATGACCCATTTGGGGCTGGGGTGCAGGCTCAGTAATAGAGGGCTTGCCTAGCATGTATAAAGCTCTGGGTTCCATCCCCAGCACCACAAAACAAAGGAAAAAACCTAAATTTATATGCACTTGGTAACATGCCACATACTACATATATTCTAGTCACAAACCTTAATATTGTATTTATGGACATAGTAAATTACAATAGCTTCTAGCAGAGAGGCCTTTGATTAATCTTTGGTCTCATCTACAAACCACCTTAAACTTCCTTAAACCTTTTTTTAAAAATCAGTTTATATTTAATAACTGACAGTAACTCAAAATATTAAAAAGAAAAGTCAAACTTGCTTCCTGTAAGGGAGTGGAAGGTGGTGATTGGTCCCCTGGGGGGGTCAAGCCTGGGTTCTCAGTGATGGGGCTGGTGGCTGTCCCTCCTACATGAAAGGGGAGAGGGGAAGAAGGGAGGTTCAGAATACGGGGCCTCTGCTGCTGGGTCATGTGCACACTGAAGGGCTTGTTGACCGTGATGCAGTACCTTGAGTATTTGTCATCAGGGGACAACCCGGCCAGGTGGGCTGAGCAGGTCTGCTGTCCCATGGGGTCGAACTTCTTCAGTGTGTAGATCCAATCTCCCTCCTTGTTGAGGTAACACTAGAAGGCTGGCAGCAAGCTCCAGTTTCCTCTGCAGCAGCGTCTACCCAGCAGCCTCATGTGCTCATCTCCTTTAACCCTTTAAAAAGCATCTATAATGTTTCATAGACTTTTTTTTTTTTTTTGGTGGTACTGGGGATAGAACTCAGGGCCTCACACATTCTGGGCAAGCACTTTGTCACTAAACTGTTTCTAAGGCCTGTCACTATGTAGCAATAACAAAACCTTCCCCAGAACAGTCCTCACATCCCCACATCTGCCCCATCTGGGCCACCTCTGCCTCTCACCTGGGCTTTTGTGGATACAATCCAGTGGTCCTGTCCCATCCTGCCCCACAATCTGTTCTTGATCCAATAGCCAGAGTGATACACATAAAACTTTCCCTCCTGGAAGGCAGCTATGCCACCAACACTCCACTAAAACTTTCCCTCCTGTAGTCTCTACAGCCCTCAGAGAGATGAGCTAGGGATGGCTACATCATGGGTTCTGCCTCTCAGCTCCTACTTCTCCTTTGGTCCCCACTCCTGCCCCATTCCCAGGCACTTGGCTCCAGCACACCAGCCTGTGCTTAACACACAGGCACACTCCTACCAGGCTGTGTACTTCCTTTTCCATCTTCCTGGCATGCTCTGGCACCTCAAGGATGCTCATCTCCTTCAAGGATTTCCTGAAGTCACTCTTAGACAAGGACTTCACAAGCCACCCCTCCTGTGCTGTGTTTCTCTCTACTTACTACCTTCTCATGACCATGAAACTTATTGTTAATATTGTGTTTTTCTCCTCCTCTAGAACTCTCCTCATTGCACCTACCCATTAACAATGCAGAGACCCAGTGTGAATGAGTGAATAGTCATGCATTAAATGTAAAAATATGTTGAATCTTACATTCTCAAACATTCTGACTTCATAATTTTGATAATATTCTCTCATCTTTTGCCCGAAATCATCAACCTAAATGCATTGGCTATAAAGTTGAATTTAGAATCTGCAGGCTAATCTGATTTGCCATTCCAAAGTATGAACACATGAATCAGGTTTTATTTCTGAACTTGAATGCCGTTTGATGGCACACAGCAAGCTGCATTTACCTAATGAGTGACATTGGCACTACCTGGGCTGCCATCACCATAGCCGACAGGGATGTGCTTTTTCCTCATTGTCTCTCTGCTTATTTCTAGCTGGAGTTTCTAGCCTGTTAAAGGACAATTCTGCCTCTCTAAGGAACTGGTGAGTTTCTCAGGTGGTTGATCCACTTCAGTGCCTGAGGCCTGGCCTAGAAGCAGACTGACTGTATTCCCTGCACTCCAAGGGGGACTGAGTCTCCCTCATAATGACTGTACAGGAATCTGACCTCACCAAGGCATTGGTTTGGAAGCTCGGATGACTTGATTCTTCCATGCAGCATGAGTTTATTAGCTTCCCCACACACTTAGCTCTAACATACCAGCCACCCGGCTGTGCTTGGCCCCAGGCACCCTCCTGCCAGGCCCTATACTTCCTGCTACCTTCCAACCTCCTCCCAATACCACAAGCCTCTCTTCCTTCACCCACTTCAGTGTTCCCGCCTCCTCATTGGGTCAGTCTGTCTCCTGAGACCACTATCCTGGAGGATATCAGATTGTTTGATCCCCAGTTACCTTTGTGTCCTTTGGTCACTGCTCAAAGTTCACTTTGATGCCAAGACTGAGACCACATAGTCTACTGGGCAGATGAGCTGAGCTTTCCTCACAAATCCTCAAACTGCACAGGTATACCATGGCTGCTGAGACCAAGGTACAGAGCTTGCTGTTCACTGTGGCCAGTAGATGATGACCAGGAAAGGTGTCAGCTGAGACCTGGATGGGATCCCCAGGATGGGACAATTGAGTACTGGCCCCTCCTTTCTATATTTTCTTGAGGAAAAGGCCCACCTGGACTTTCCACCAGGATTCCCCAGAAATGCTGAGCAGCTGCCCCGGACTTGTCATGATCTCACAGTCCTGGGTGAGACTGGGTTGGTACATCCCATCCCAGATGCAGCCACCAGTCTTCTTGGGAAAGCAGGACTCAGTGACAGGCAGAGGGCAAAAAGGAGGCCTCTCCCCACACTACACAGCAGGTTCAGAATCACCTAGCATCTGGTTCTTGCTGAAACAGATCCTGCACGTGGTACTCAGAGGAGGCAGATGACGTGTGCAGAGAAGCTCAGAGATAGAAGGCAGACTCAAGTCCAGACTGTTATTTGGGTCTAAGGAAGGCAGTCATCAGGAACAGGAATGGGGCAGAGCATGGAGCAGGAAACAAGTTCAAATCCACAGGACCTGGAAAGCGAGAAGGAGGAGCCGCACATCTGTTGGGAGCAGGAAGGGACTGAGCAGGCCCTGAAGTGCGCACCTGGCCCCCCACATGCAGACCCAGGCCAGCTGTATTGGGGGAAGGTGAGACTTGGGCTGTGACCAGGCCCAGCTCCCTAATGTCCCTTATTACTACGTGATAGTTCCAGCAGGGCAGCTGCAGTCCTCTGGCTCTCAGATATCCAAAATACCCAAGTCTGGTCAGGAAGACACAAAACAGAGAAAGCACTGTGGGAAGCACTAGACTCTGGCAGAGGAAAGCAGATGTGAGGAGGTGGCCAGCAGGTTGAATTAGCCTCTCTCTCTTCCTGGGTCAGATTCTCTAGGCACAAAGAGGGAGTTGGCCAGGACACAACACTAATGGCTGAAATGGAAGGATTTGAGGTTCAAGTCACCTCCCTGAGCCATACCCACACACTGTCTCTTTTCCCTGGTAGGAACTGAAGCTGGGGCTAAAGGGGAAGAAGGGTAAAGGCCTCCCCTGCTCCATAGAAGGGAAGAGGCCACAGTCTCTAGTGTTGACAAGAATTTTTCCAGACTTGGAAATCAGGAACAGGAGACTTCCTGTCTCTGAATAGCAGCTTGCGGTGCCTCTGATGTTACTCTATGTGCCATTGAGAGGCCCTGGCTCTGACAG